AAAAAAAAAAAAAAAAAAAAAAAACGCTTAATATATAAGGGGGTTAATAATAAAGCTAATGCATTCTGCTTATAATGTGCTAGGCACTCTTGTAACCACTTTACAAAAACCATTTTGTTCTTATAAAATAGGAAAAGTACCAATATCCCATGCTCCAATAAATAATTGATAGAAGAAATTCAAGTAATCAGTAAACAAATTATATTTAACTTCACAATAATTAAATAATTATAATTTAAAATGTGCTAAGATTTTAACCTATCAAACAAATGAAGATTGTTGTTACTGATTAACACCTATTATTGGTAGGGTAGTGAAATGGTCAATTTCTTATATGCTGGTGGGAGTGTAAGTTGGAAACTTTTTTCTAGAGAGCAATTCAGCAATATAAATTGCATCTTGAAAGCATTTATACCCGTTAATGCTATTATTATGCTCTTAGGAATTTATAGCATTGACATGATCAAAGGTGCATATGAAGATGTAGATGCAAGAAGGTTCATCAAAGTTTTGTTTGTAATAAAGAAAAATTGGGCCTAGCAAACTGGCTCCCCACTATAATCCTAGTGCTTTGGAAGGATCACTTGAGCCCAGGAGTTCAAGACCAACCTGGGCAACCCTATTTCTACAAAAAATAAAAATATTAGCCAGGCACAGTAGCACACACCTGTAGTCCCAGCTACTCAGGAGACTGCGGTGGGAGGATTGTTTGAGCCTGGGAAGTCAAGGCTGCGGTAAGCTGTGATCACACAACGCTACCCCAGCCTGGGTGACAGCAGGGCCCTGTCTCAAAAAAAGAAAGAAAAGAAAAAGAAAAATTGGAAGCAACCTAATTTCCAAGTTTAGAAAGGAGCATTTAAAGAAGTTACAGGACCTGGCATGGTGGCTCACCCCAGTAATCCCAGCACTTTGGGTGGCCAAGGCGGGCTGATCATTTGAGGTCAGAAGTTCAAGACCAGCCTGGCCAATATGGTAAAACCTCATCTCTACCAAAAATACAAAAGTTAGCCAGGTGTGATGGTGCACACCTGTAGTTCCAGCTACTCAGGAGGCTGAGGCCAGAGGATCGCTTGAACCTGGGAGGTAGAGATTGCAGTGAGCCGAGATCACACCACTGCACTCCAGCTGGGGTCACAGAGTGAGACTCCATCTTAAAATATGTAAATAAATAAATAAGTTACAGAACATGAGTATCTTAGATATTAGGGAAATAACCCATCAACAGGGTGAATGGATACACTAATTATGAAGTAATGGAATGTTAGCAATAAAAATGAATGAATTATGGTATACACAGCATGAATGTCTTAAAATATTATGCAGAGAAAAAAGACAAAAAAAGGAGAATATACTGTTTGAGTTCATTTATATGGAATTCTAGAACAAGTAAAATTTATTTACAGCTAAAGAAGTCAGATTAGTGATTGCCTCTGAGGTTAAGTCCAGGGATTGATTTAGATGGAATGTAAAGGAACATTCTGGGAGGATGGAAATGTTCTATATCTTGATTAGATGTGTTTTAAATCAGTGCATCCACTTGTCAAACTCGTACCCTTTACCTACGTAATTTCTGTTCAGACTTCATGTAAGATTTTGCCTTTGACTATGTGTGAATTATACCTTAAACACTCATATTTTCTAAAAAGATTTAATAAATGTGCAAAATATTTTTACCATTTTATTTGGGAAAAAAGCCACGATACAATTCAATCTATACAGCATGGTTCTAATTATGTAAAAGAAAATACATTAATAAAAGTAGAGAAACCCAGGCAGAAATGACAAGAATGATGTATGCCAATGAACATGCCAACATAATTCAAAAAAATAGCAAATATTCTTATAGTCCCACTTCATACCAAATTCCCTTTTCATCTTACATTGTAGATTTGACCTTCTTTCAGTTCCTCATATGAAAACAGCTGCTATTCCTATGCCTCTAATGACCCCCTCATTCTCTTCAGCAATTTAATTCCTGCTCAGCCTTAAGCTCAATCTAATCACATGAGTTCTTAAAAGCAGAAAGAAACAGGAGGGTAGATCAGGAAAAATAGAAGAGGGAGGGAAGACACTCCTATCAGTCAGGAAATTCCAAGGATTTAACAGTTACTTCCTAGGAACTGGGACAAAGGCCAGATCATTCTTTGAGCAGGACGAAGTTCTTGCTATACAGCCTGGTTTGTAAATAAGTCTTCCCTTCACCCCTCACCGTAAGCTCCAAAAGGACATGGACCACATCTGGTTTTGCTCCCAGTTTTATCGCTCACACCTAGCATAGTGGTTGGCAAATATTGAGAATCTGCATAACATGGACTTGGGAGGCAGCCAGTCTGAATTTGAATCTTGGCTCTTCTCTTCACTAACTGCGTGACTCTGGGCAAGTTACTTCTTGTTGCCAAATTGACTTCATCTAGAAATTAGAGGTAAAGAAAATGCCTATTTTAGAAAGTTGCAATGAGTATTGGATGAAAGAACATCAGTTAAGGTCTCAGAATAGTGCCTGGCACAGAGAAAAAGAAACCAGATAAACATTTAATATTATTAATGCTCAATAAGTAATTACTGATGGAATAAGTGTCTGGCACATGAAAGGTGCTTAATAAATGTTTTTGAAAGAACGGAAAATAAGATTTTCTTCTTTAGTAGATTTACCTTTAATATAGTACCAGATGTACTGATTTGCACATCGTTAATTATTGTAAAATTATAGCTCAATAATGTGCTTAAGAAAAGCATAAAAAAAGTTTCAGAGTCTTTTCACCTCTCCAGCAGGTTGTACCCTCAACCATATAGTGAGGAATTGAACTAGACAGGGTTCAAGACCTCTTCCAACTCCAACAACATGTTGTTTGTCCTTAGGAAACAAACTAGATATAGCAACAGAGAAGACCATTTTACATGGAGGCATGAACCCTCTGAATGTGTAAGTTTCCATTTTAAAAAACGAACAGATAAAATAATCCACCGATTACCAAAATTCATCTTTATTCACAACATAGGTTTGAACTGTGGCAGTGCATTTTTTAATAATTTGATGAAATTTGACTCCCTTGTAAACCATACACAAAGGTCCTAGAAAATTTATTTTAATCTGTGAGAAATGGCTAGTTTTATCTTGGCACATAAACAGGCCTAATGTGAGCTTCTAGAAGGTGATTGATAATAGAATCAGTACTAGCTCCAAAGAATGGATTCAACTCAACACCTTCAAATGAAACCCCTAACAACTAGAAAAAAAAAAAAGAATCAACTTTTAAAACATTCTTTTTAGTTACAAAGTAATGCATATACATTTAAGTGCAATAACCAAATGTTTTTTCATTGCTTTATTATTATTAAGCAATTAAATTTTTTAATAATAAAAGTAAATATGTTCCAAACACCTTTCCTGCCCCGTTTATTTTCCAAAGATAGCAAATGTTAACAGTGTTCTGCATTTCTTTCTTTCTTTTTATTTGAGACAGAGTCTCATTCTGTTGCCAAGCTGGAGTGCAATGGCACCATCTGAGCTCACTGCAACCTCCACCTCCCGGGTTCAAGCGATTCTTCTGCCTCAGCCTCCTGAGTAGCTGGGATTACAGATGCGCACTGCCACACTCAGCTAATTTTTGTATTTGCAGTAGAGACGAGATTTCACCATGTTGGGCAAGATGGTCTTGATCTCCTGACCTTGTGATCCACCCACTTCGGCTTCCCAAAGTGCTGAGATTACAGGCATGAGCCACCACGCTGGGCCAACAGTTTGTTTGCATATTTCTATGCACATACACTCAACAAAAAATATGTACATATGCACCTATTATAGATGGTATTTGTAAAGTTTACTTTTTCTTGTCATTTTAGTGTTACCACAAGCAGTCACCCAGTTTGAAGAATTGGTTGGTATGGCTGAGGCTCTGCTTAAGGGTGGAGGAACCATGTCTACATCTGCATCCACTCTCTGGAGAGCAACAAACAACTCTTCACCAGATTCATTGGCCTCAACCTGTAGTAATTCGAATTCGAATTCCAGTTCACCAGTTTCCTTAAAGCCTGAGGAAGAGCATCAGACTGATGAGAAACAGGTCAGTTGCAATACCTGCCTTATTGTTCTTTGGAATATGGTTAAATAAAAAATTTAATAAGGGTAGAAAATGATCATTGTTTTATCAGATAACTATTGGACGAAATAATTTTATGCAATAGGAGTATTAAAATTCTTAGTACCACAAAGAAGAGGCATAAGATGCTTGACCTAGCCTGGTGAAAGGGAGGGCTTGACTTTGGAGGGGCAAGAAGGTCTTCTCTGAGGAAGTCAAGATCGATCTGAGAAAAAAAGGCATTAAACTGTTGTCTTTTTATAGTAAAAACTAATATTTGTGAAACAAATACCCAGTTTAGAAAACTAAAGACAAATTGGGGACAAAGATAAAGTTATTAAACCTTAAAATTCTTAAACCAGTGACAGAAGGATACCTGTACATTCAGGGTTATGTAATTTTATATCATTGACAGGTAAATTTCAGCCTCAGCATGCTGGCTGAACATATTTCTTTCTCTACTTTTCTACTTAATATAGACACAAAAGCTACAAAGACAAGTTTTGTTATAATCAGGTAGCCTTAGAAAGTATACTATCGGGCCGGGCGCGGTGGCTCACGCCTGTAATCCCAGCACTTTGGGAGGCCGAGGCGGGTGGATCACGAGGTCAAGGGATCGAGACCATCCTGGTCAACATGGTGAAACCCTGTCTCTACTAAAAATACAAAACATTAGCTGGGCATGGTGGTGCGTGCCTGTAATCCCAGCTACTCAGGAGGCTGAGGCAGGAGAATT